CTCGATGTCCTTTATCATTTCTTCAATTACCCCAACCTTGTAATCAACTACCATCTGTTCCACTTCCTTAAGCCTTCGTAGGGTATTCGGTACCTTCCTCTTTTTTGCCAAGCCGCCCTCCGAAATTTACGACTGTTCCATATTACCAACTACGACTGGCCTTATCCCTATATATTCTGCGGGCCTTTTCTCGCTATGGCTCCCTTTCCCCAAAATCCCCCTCGCATCGTCTTTCCCCAAATGCATGAAATCACAAGGTGGGAAGTGATGTTTCACATAGGAGTGAAGAAAATGACAAAACAAGAGAGAACCATCCTTCAAACACTAGAGAAAACACAAACAAGAATTACGATTTGCTCCCAAGTGAATAGATGGAGAGAAAGTAAGAGATGAGTGAGTGAAACTCACTCAAATGCATGAAATCACAAGTGGGGAGTGACGCTTCACATGGGAGTGAAGAAAAGGACAAAACAAGAGAGAAACATTATCCAAACATTAGAGAAAACACAAACAAGACTTGCGATTTGCTCCCAAATGAATAAGTGGAGAGAAAGGGAGAGAAGAGTGAGTGAAACTCTCTCAAATGCAGAAAATCACAAGGTGGGAAGTGACGCTTCACATGGGAGTGAAGAAAAGGACAAAACAATAGAGAAATATCATCCAAACACTAAAGAAGACACAAACAAGAGTTGTGATTTGCTCCCAAGTGAAGAAGTGGAGAGAAAGGGAGAGAAGAGTGAGTGAAACTCTCTCAAATGCAGGAAATCACAAGGGGGGAAGTGCTTCACATGGGAGTGGAGAAATAGACTAAACAAGAGGTAATCATCATCAAAACACTAGATTAAGCAACCACAAGAGTTGCGATTTGCTCCTAAGTAAAGAAGTGGAGAGAAACGGAGGGAAGAGTGAGTGAAACTTTCTCAAATGCAGGAAATCACAAGGGGGGAAGTGACGTTTCACATGGGATTGGAGAAATGCACTAAACAAGACGTAATCATCATCAAAACACTAGATTAAGCAAACACAAGAGTTACGATTAGCTCCTAAGTAAAGAAATTGAAAAAAAGTGAGAGAAGAGTGGGGGAAACTTACTCAAATGCATTAAATCACAAAGGGGGAAGTGACAATTCACATGGGAGTGAAGAATGAGCCCGTGGGGAGATCATTACTAGTGAGAAGGTTCCCTACCATCTACTCTAAGTTTAGGACAGTTCCTATGGAGAGAGAGAGGGGGGGTGAAGAAGAAGAGAGTGGGATATGGATAAAAGATCATTGTGAGAGAAGGAGAAGGAAGGGAAGGGGAGGAAGATAAAGAAGAAGAAAAAGAAGAAAAAGAGGAAGGAGATAAGGAAGATAAGGGGGGAAGGAGAATAAGAAAAAGAAGAGGAAGAGGAAGAAGAAGAAGCAGAACAAGGGAAAAAAAAAGAAAAAAAAAAAAGAATTTTCTCATTTTCACCCACCTCCTTAGTGTCTTGGAGATGGAGCACTAACCTTGATGAAGCTTCTCCCTTCTTTGCACAAGTATCACCTTGGCTATGACTTTGTCCTTCCTCAAGCCCTCTTCTCATTCCCCTATGACTATGGAGTCCTCGCTCTAGGAGGGTTAATGAGACTCCCTCTAGACTCTCCCTCTTCCTCACATTCTGGGGGCTATGGCGGGCCACCTCCCTCGACTAGCCTCACTACCACTAACCTCTAGAGCTCACTCCACTAGCTCACAGTCTCTTCTAAGCTCCCAAACTGGCAGGGGTTCCCCTCTCCTCTCTTCAAGTGAGAAAAGTGTTGTTATGAGTTCACTTAGGCAGCATGGGTACTCCTCATGCAAATGTGAGTTTGGCGGACTAAATCCTCAGCTTATGTAGGCTGAAACCAGCACTCCGGCCAGCCCATGGGCCTCCCCATGTACCTTGAGGTGAACCGAGGTACCCCCAAGGCAAAATTTCACCACTAGGCCCTTCCGGAGGTACCCGAACCTTATTTTGGCCAAGTACATGCAATCCGAGTGGTTGGTACCAACTCGGATTGCCTCTTGGCCTCCCTCAACCTCTTTTTCATTTTCAAAATGCTGTCCCCTTGGGTCCTAATGCCCAAGGGGCAGCCTCACTTGAGAGAAAAAGACCTATAGCGTATTTTTCTCGATTTTTTCAGTTTCTATCCCGTTTTTGGTAGACCGAGGTATTTTCCCACGCCTCGGGAGTCTTCTCAGCCTTGGAGGGCCAACAATATTTCGTGCCACTCCCAAGTAGTGCTTGCTTCAAATTTGAGTCCCTAAGCTCACTTTTTTAATTTTTTGGTGCATTTGGCCCTCTTTTTGGGCGAAATGCACAGTTTTGTTTTTTTCTCTCTTTTGTTTCTTTCCATTTTGGAATGCCAACTCATTCAGGAGTTGACCGTTTGGGTAGGCCTCATAAAAAACAGGCCATATTCCCTCCTCCATGGATCTGAAAACCGGTTATTTTCCCTTTGCATTTTCTTTCGATTTTGTCTTTTTAATTCAGATTTTGTGGAGATATTGCCCCAAGGGTCATATCTCTGCATTCCGGATTGCCCTCCTTGAATCTCGGAGGAATGAGGTCACAGTAGGGACCTGCTATTCCCTACTGTGCAGGTCCCAATAGGTCGGCACATTCTCCTCCACTATTTTCTACCCCTTTGTCCCATTCTCCCTCTATTTTTTTTTTCCCCCCTGATGTGACTAGTGTCAAGTGGCTGTTGAGCCTTTTTTTAGGCCATAGATCTTCATCTATGGTCAAATTCAGACTCAACAGTTGACCGTTATATCTCGGATCACAATACTGAAGCCCCCATACTCAAGGGGGCTGATTAGTTTCAATTTTGGGTCCCCTTTGCTCCGTTTTCTTTTTGACAGTCTTTCTCCCATGTTGAGTCCATTGGGGCATTATTTTCTCACGCCTAGCTAGTCCTAAATACCCTGGACTGCTGGGCAACCCTTCCATCATCATTATTTTGTTTTTTTTTCTCCCACGACTCTCTCACTTGCTCTCACTAGTGTTTTCATCAGTGGTGCTAATATTCTTCAGGGTCTAGATCTTGATCTCGACGGTGCCGTTTGCTTTGTGTGGCCATCCCTCAATTCTAAAGTGCACCCGGGTTCAAAATTGGTCTCGGATGCACCTAAAACATGTGTTTTCCTCCCCCATGCAATCCGTTGTAACTCGGACTGCAATAGGGGTCAATTTTTCCCCACAACTAGCCCAAATTGAAGGAAAAAGAAACAGTCAACTTTCAAGTGCATCCGGACTCAATTTTGGCTTCAGATGCACCTAAAATATGTGTTTCCCCTCCCCCATGTAATCCGTTGTATTTCGGTTGCATGGGGCCTTGATTTTTCTTGATTTTCTCTGCAAAATCAAGAGAAAATCAAGGTTCTTTGCAACCGCCATATTCCATAATGTATCTGGTCACGGATGTATCTCCCCAAGTGTGACCGTTTTTTACCGTAAAGGCATTTTTCTCATTTCTTTTATTTTCCCTTTTCTTTTTTTTTCTCTTTTCTTTTATTTATTTTTTCCTCCTTTCTTGGATAATAGGGACTTGTCAGTCCCTACTTGTGGCAGTCCCTACTGACGGCCAACTCACTCACTCTCTCTCACTCTTTTTGTTTTATTCTCCCACATTTTTCTTTTTTTTCTTTTCTTTTTCTAGCAAGCCAAGTGTCAAGTGGTCGTTAAGGCCCTTTTCTAGGTTCTTCCTCTTAGTTTTGGCCCTCCCTATGCCCATGGTGCAGTCCGTTTTATCTCGGGCTGCAATAATGACCCCCTCATGCCCATGAGAGTTTCCTTTTACCTCTATTTCTCTCACACAGTAGCCCCTCTTACGCCGATTTTTTTCAGGAGGCCTATTTTTCACATGGAGTCTCTTTTGACTCCATTTTCTTGAGGGAGGCTGATCCGAGATTTTTCGGATTGCTCCCATACCTCCCACTTCATGTTTCTTTACTTTTTTCTTTTCCTTTTGACCTTCCCGTTTGCTACCACTAGTGCTTGCACTAGTGGTGCTAATATTTTTTGCCATTAAGATCGATATCTTTATGGTGCATTTTGTTTTCATTGTTTTCTCCTCATGCTGCTCCGCCGTTTCTCTTGGGACCTTCACATATCCCCACCACTTTTCCCGCCGGTGGTCCCTGACACTTGTCCCGTCGGCGGTCCCCGACACTTTGTCCCGTTGGTTATCCCCGACACTTGTCTCGTCGGTGGTCCCTGACGCTTTGTTCCGTCGGTGGTCCCTGACACTTGTCCCGTCGGTGGTCCCCGACACTTCGTCCCGTCGGTAGTCCCCGACACTTGTCCCGTCGGTGGTCCCTGACACTTCGTCCCGTCGGTGATCCCCGACGCTTTGTCCCGTCGGTGGTCCCCGACACTTCGTCCCGTCGGTGGTCCCCAACGCTTTATCCCCTCGGTGGTCCCCGATGCTTTGTCCCGTCGGTGGTCCCCGACACTTGTCTCGGATACCATTATTCTAACTTAGTCTCACGTGGGTCATGTGCCCTCCCTCAAGGTGTCCCATGTTCCTTTGGCGTCTACCGCCCTCTGGTAGCCCTTTTCCCTTGTCTCTTATATGGCCTCACGCGCGCCGGTTTCTCTGGCCGTGGAGCCTCCAAATCGGTGGTTTCCGTTAATTGTTGTAGGCGGCCCCCATGTTGGGCCCTTATTTTCTAGCGTCCCATGACCACCAGGATCGTCCACCTCTCAGCTTCCCTATTCTCCTGTCGTTCGTCGTGCCGCATTTGCAAAGTTAATGGCCCCTTGGCCTTTGTCATGTTGAATTTCAGTGGCCCTCCCAGCCTCATGTTATGCTCCTATGCGCCCATGTACTGGCGCTTACTTGCTTGTCGTCGCCGGTTCTTTTTCTCTGCGATTCTCAACCCAGAACATCATTTCTCCCGGCGGTCCTGTCTTAGTCCTTTGTCTTTTCTCTCCTTGTTTCCTTACTCCGGATTTCTATGTCGTGCACAACTTGGCTATATACAGGCTCTTGAGTGTCGGGATGTTATTCGGGACCCACCGGTCCCGACACAGTACGGACGATGGAATCCTCGCACACGGCGTGCCCTCCGAACCGTGGCCGGCTTGCTCCTCACACTCAACACTCCCTGGCCACGCTTATGTGCACTGATCCGGAGTAGTTCCCCGACGCTGCGTATATATATATATATATATATATATATATATATATATATATATATATATATATATATATATATATATATATATATATATTGATGTATACACATATATATCAACGCGAGGACGGGTCTGCATCCCCCCCCCCGTCACCACCGTAGCTCCGGCCCCCTCCCTGTCTGGAGAGAACCCCGATAAGCATCTCAAGTACAGTGTTCCCCCCCCTTATGGCATCAGCGACGCCACCTATTTTTGTTGCAATCGCCTTGTCGGCTTCCGATGTCGCCTTTACCAAAGTGGAGGCGGCCTTGTCAAGACCGTCACAATACGCCCTCGTCAAATCCTCCATCACCCTCCCCAACGACGACCCCCCGCAACTCATATCCTCCACTCTTGCCTTGCCGTTGTTCGTTCTCCGCCTCTTGGATGCACCCTCGGAATCGTCCATCGTTCTACCGTCTGAACCGCTTCTCCCAGAACCACGATTTCCAAGAGCATCATTTTGAGTTGTTTCCCCACCTCCTTCGGTCAGATCCTCGGACGCCAATGTCTTGTCACAGGTCATGGAAGGTCTATTCAACTTCCACTGCATCGCCTCCCAAAGCGGTTTCTCAAAGGTGAGAGGCACCTCCAACTCCTTTCGTTTCTCCACCGACAAGTCGAAGTACGAAGGCATGCTAGATGCATTCTCACACCTATCGTGGATCAGCTTCGCCTTGCTCAACATGTTCGTCCATTTCTTCCGGCAATCCTCCGTTGTTCTATGTCGGAATCCGTTGTCTTTCATCCGGTCGTGCACCCAGGTGTACCGCTCCTTCATCTTCATGAATTGATGTTGACCCTCCACGTCAGCCATGAGGGCGTTGTCCTCCCCCATCAACTTCGTCAGGGCAATCCTCTCCTCCAACGTCCAAGGAACGTTTTAGTTTTTGTTTTCCACAATATTGTCTATGCCATTGTGTTTGTCACGACGACAACCGCCCTCAAGTCCGTCCAAGGTCTGACCTTGGTTGGACTGTTGTGCACTGTCTCCGTCGACGTGCGCTTTGTCCAAAGTCTGCGCAACAATGTTGCCGCCATCTTCGTCATCATCACCGTCGTCCTCATCTTCACGCGCTTCACCTTCATCCGCATCGTCGTCAAATTCTTTTGGTCCCGAAAAACGGTTTCCTGCAGGTCATCCCTGGTTGGTCTCATGGCCATGAGGATCGCCCATTGAAGGCGACTGGTGATAAGGCGTGCGTCTGGCCGATGGTCGACTCGGGCTGGCCATTGCACCGTGCACTTGCTGTGAAGTCTGCCCGCATTGCGGGGACCATGGTGGATCACTCCTCATCGCGCTGCCCTTGTCAACATTGTGCTGGGAGGGGAGGTCGTGTGTTGGAATGCCGAATCCGCCAGCAACCGGACTTGGGAGGGGACCATGGCCCATGTACATGGCTCCTTTAGGCATACTCTGCATAGGCGGCCATTCAGGGAACCGTCCACGTGTCCCTGCCACATGTTGATATCCGGAAGTGGGGATAGGGATCCGTGGTATATGGATCGGCAAGCCTCGACCCCCGTCAAACAACTGTCCGGTGAAGGATTGAACCACCGGTGTGGATGGCGAAGAGCACGACACAGATCCGTGAAGACGTCCGTCTTGCATTTGGAATCCCCCATCATTGCCTGCCGAGAGATCTGTCCTCCATCGACTAGAATCCATCCTGCTGCACCCGCCAATTGAAAAAAAAACAGCTCTCTCTCTCTCTCTCTCTCTCTCTCTCTCTCTCTCTCTCTC